GGTTAGCCATCTCGACTGTCTGAGAGGTATCTCGTCTTTCACGGAACTCACTCTCATTCGCCAGCGTAGTCCCTCGGGATTCAAGGTCTTCAAGATCGTTCTCAACGTTGCGTTTCTGAACGTAGTCATCCGCAGGCCTAATCGCTCTTAAAGAATTTGATTGATCTGAATCGAGCGTATCGTTGCTCCTTGACTGTGCATTTATTGATGATGGAAGACACGGTTTAGCCCCAACGACCGAGTGAGATGTCTGTGCGTCGCAGCCAGCTCTCATGCTTTGGATAAGGGTATTTGCCCGCTGAGTTTCTCCGAACTACTCATCGCACAGGTATCTCAAACGAGAACTTGGTTCGCACGCTCTGTCTGAGTGGCAATAATCTCCGGAGCACACAGAGTCTCTGAGCATTCAAATCGATAAGCACCCCGGAACATCCTCGAAGCGAAAACAATCCAGTCCAGCACATCTCAGCGGAAAGGCGAACGACTCAGCGATCTCCGAACCACCTTATGCGAACGGGATGTTCCCCCGACGAAGAAATTGTTTTCTCCAGCAAGAAGAAAGAAACCCCCAAGTTTCCGTGGGCGGTTCGCCCACCGCCCGACGAAGCTTCGGGATGTTGTAGGGAGGAAAAAATTTCCGTCTTGACTTATTTCCACTTTCTGCGGGAGGATTCTCCGCGACCGCCGCCCGCCCGCGGCTCCGGTTAGCATATCAACAGCAGCGAACCACCCTGCGGCTGTTTGGGACTCGAGCATACGGGAGCTAGCAAAGCAAGCCACTGAGCTAGCGAGTCAACGAATACATGGCAGAATCCATGAATAGTGATTAACCTTGTCCCACGAGATACAACGATACAATGGTTTTCCCCTGCTTGCGACCCATCGTTCGTCCAATGGCCCGAGGCAATCTTCGCTGAGGCTGCAAGCCAAGATTTGTGTTGGGCAAACACAGAACAGGTGATGTGTGTTGGTGGTTGTAGTGGCGGAAGCGGCGACGGCGGCCGCCATGGTTTGGTCGCAATGGTTAGTAAATAGCATTGATCTTTGGTGCTTTCCCCATCGATGGAGTCCGGCTGCCGCTCTCGACCGATGCTTTAAAGGAGGTCCTTGAGACGGAGCGACTCCTTTTCAATGAGCACACGCACGGTTTGCAATCTCTTCAGAGAGAGCCTCAGCCAGATGGATACGGACAGGGAAAGGTACGATCGCCTGCCCTCATTCCTATTGGAACCTTCGTCTATCACTTGGAAGCATCTATCGCGGGCAGTCTCACCTTGCGAGAATCACATACATTTTGGAACATTCCGGGAGAAATATTCCGACAGCTCAAAACTTCTGCGGGACTGGTGTCAGAACGGTGTGTACGGAAGAATCCTCGCTAATTGACAGCCTTCGGTTCTCTCCAGACTTGTTCTCCGGCTTCGCGTTAGAAATGTACTCGGCAATGTTTCGTTTCTTCCTGGGAGGTTCACACTAAGGGCTTTTAGGAAATGACCTGAAGTTCGGCCGTAGCTCGATGACTAATGCTTTCAGAATGTCTGTAGGAGGCTTCCTTTCCCGTCGTTGAAGAGGTTAGGCCAGCGCGACGGGAGGATTAACGTTTGGCGTCCCGAGCGCTTCGTGAGGGCAGCCCACAGGATATCCTGGGGTCTTCACGAGAATTTCTACGAGGCTCACCGTACGTCATTCCGCTCGGGTCTCCCTCAGGGGGGGGGGGATATCTACTGCCTCGATATGAAGCATATGAACCTCGATATTACGCCCTCGGAAGGCTCAAGTCTCAGCGTCCGACTGACCTGATGCGCTTCTGCTCCCGGAGTGTCTCGGAGGGGCTCGGTTCTCTCAGCCCAATCCGAGAGTAAGGTGGGATCTCGTGTGAAATGAAGCTGTGCCTCCGAAAATCTCGATCGTCGCCCGATAATGAGTCATTGAAGACAGCAAGTGGAGCCCGGGTGTGAGCCTCCACCGCACGCAAGTTCATGGAGGAGCTCCTTGAGGTGTCTTTGCTTCCTACACTACATGTCGAGAGCTATCTACGAAGATTCCACTGATTTATTCTACGATTCGGGGCCCTCTGCCGTAGCGGTGGTCACAGGACGCGGCTCGTCGCTATGCAGCAAAAGCTCGCCGGAGTGGTCGGAATGAAGGATCATGTGGCCCCGGAGGGATCCTTTGAGAAGGTGCCCACCAAATTCTCGAGTTTCAGAACGACCGCGGGCAACGATTTCGATGAGACTGAAATGGTTCAAAGAGCCTTTCGATGTCGAACCGCGCACTGCAGCAGGTACTGTACACACGGAGAGATACGGTTTCATGCGCGAAGCGTCGATTATTTCTCATCAGCTCACGTCACAACACTCTGCAAGATGATCGTTTCGAGACTCCCGAAAGGATTTGGAGAAAAAATTGTATCTGGAGGTTTATTCTTGTTTGCCTTTCTCTTGTGTTTGCCCTTCTCCCATTGACCTTGTGGCAGCGTCTCCGGTGCAGTGGGCTAAACCTTCAGAGTTTCACAGAGATGAGGAGCTTCCAGGGAACGAATTTGAGATTTGAAGAAACTCACCGAGATCCCAGGGTTGTTGAGAGCTGCCAAGGAGCTTGACGATCGGGAGAACAATCGAAACAAGGAACGAATGAATAAATATTTGATGATGATGGTATTGCACTCCGGTCCAGATTATGACATTCGAAGAAATGAACGAAAACTATCCACAAGTTTTATAGATGGATGACTGGCTCGCTGCCAAGATAGTTATATTCGCTCGCTAAAAGTGCAATGAGTGAGAAGTGAGCCTTTTGCGATGCGCCACGAAGAGACCACACGGCACTGCAATAGTGAAAATTATGCGTCCGGGCGGAGTCTAGGAGGCTCGAGAGGGCGGGTCTCCGCAGACGCCAGATGCTCTGTGAGGGACTTCGAGGGACTTCTTGCTGGTGCCGCTGAACCGCTGCCGAGTCGGCCTCCGCGACTCGTCTCTCCCTCTCACGATCTCTCTCTTCCTAGCCCGTTCACCACCCGGACTGGATCTGAGGCAGTGGAGGGTATCCATTGAAATGTCATTTGGCGATAGCGACCTTGCTCCCTTGTGGCTCAAGCAACGACGAAAAGGACTAAAGGACGACGAAAAGGACGAACAAAACGAGACGCGCTGCCATCCGACACTATGGGAGCCCTACTTCCGAGCCGAGGCGCTCTCTCCACCTCACATTCCGAGCCGGGACTCAGCGGAGGAACTCATTATCACACATGTGGCGGTTATGTGAACAATGTTCAGGCCCGCTGCGTAGCTGGGTGTCCTACAGCAGTTGATAAATAGATGCTGGACTTCCCCTACGCTGAGAACGGCTTCGTTTCCGACGGTATGATTCTGTATCAATGAAGAGCTCTCCGATGCGGGGAAGAATCTCTCCCAGTCCGATCGAGGAAGATAAGGAGGGGACGAGGTGAATTCGGAGCTCTGCCTCGAGATCACTTTGAGGGCGAGATCGGAATATCGCCTTTGAACAATGTCCGCTTTCTCGCATGTTCTCCGCAGCTTTTCCGCACCAATCATCATAGATAATTATGATTATAAATATGATACATGTATTATACATTATTATTATATTATGATCATACACATCGCGATCATCCGAATCAGCTTTGGTCGCTCAAATAGCTTGCTTCGCATCTCGGAAAACCTCATCATGACTGAGGTTCCCTCCTCCCTGCTTGAATGATGCGCGCCATTAGACTGTCGCGACAGACACGACCGACATGTCGGTCTGCTATGCGGGTCGATTCCCTGCGGAAAATATTCGTGCGGCATCGATTCCTCGAAAGCCAGTCACGCACGTATCTGAGGAACACTGAGAGCTAGACAAAGGGACTTTTCTCATCGCCCGGATTCGGAATTCCGTAGTGGAATGTGAACTTATTCAGACGGATACCAAACGAAGCTTGTGTTCCCGCGGAGCGATCTCGGACTCCTAGATCGAAACGTGCAACCAATGTCTTCGAGACTCAGTCACGGACGTCGCAATGAATAATGAGACTTAGAGTTGCGATATAGAAGGACGCATCCTTTCTTGTCAGCCTCTCTGTAGGAAATGTCCGCTCTCCGGAATTTCGGCTGCACGAGCATGAGCTAGGGGTTGAGTCGGAAACTTTTCCCTCTGCGAATTGTCTATGAATGATCGTTTATGGACATCGAACTTCACTTGAGTGTTGCTCACTGGGAAAATTGTTGGGTAGTTGAAATAATTCCATAGAAAGGGTTGACAGCATGGAATAGAGTGTCCGCGCTCGATGTCTGCTCGTCGTCCCGATGTCCGCAAGGACATTGTCCTTTTTTCGGGTGAAAAATATCCTCTCATATCGCAACTCTATAATTCGAGCGCTTGACTTCCAGCCTGCGAGAGACGAGTAAAATGAAAAACTCCTGCTTTCGATCTTCGTGACCTATCTTTTGTTTATTCGAGTTGCTCGTCATTCCGAAACGATGAAGACTCTCACAACGCTTTATGTTGAATTCCTGCAGTGAGTATCTCTTTCCCGCCCGAAAGCTCGGAAGCGACTTGAATGACGGAGTGGGACCTGCGTACCGATTCCGTAGCGACTGCCGAGAGCTCTAAGATAATTGAAAACTCTGGCCCCGGATCCCGAAACCCGGTTGGGAAAAAGCAATATCGTATGCGGACGGTATACCTGAGCAAGGAACGAGGGCTTCCAGCTCCGGGTGCTCCGTGAGCTCGCGCTTCCCCCATAATAAGATATTAGGAGTCTCTATTCCCAGCTGCAACCGCTCCGTTCCCTGATCAGTCTTCTCCCGTTCCGCGAGGGGTCGATCCCGCTACGTTCTCCGACTGGGATATTTGAGCTTATTCTCTCCCTCCCGTATTTTCGAGCTTCTTGAGGCGATCTGGTTCTTGCACACGCTTGGAATTACACGATGTATGTACAGTCTGAGTTTCTTAGCGATCTATGTATGTTCATATACACTTTAGCCGGGGCTCGAGTTCTACTGTCTCGCATGTTGATTTCCGAAGATCGACAATTGCGATGCGAAAGCGGGCTCGGCGCCTGAACCGAACTGGTACTTCACGTTCTGAATGGCGGGAATGTACTGTGGCGCGACTTGTGCACCGCTCGCCGGAGCGTTGTACGTTTCCGGAGCAGCCAGCGATGACGGGTACGGCTGCTGTCGAGTAGACGAGGGTTGAGTCTGGTATCGAGGAACGTATTGAGGCTCCGATTGGATGGAGGATCCTCCGAACGGCTGAGGTGCTACTTGAGGGAGAGCTGCTTGAGGTTGGTACGAGATGCTGCTCGGCCGATACTGCGGAGCCGCGGGGGCGAATTGAGGTTCAGAGACGTATCGCGGAGCAGGTTGGGCGTACTGCACTCCGGGGGATGACGCGGGAGCGTATTGAGGAGCGTACTGCACAGGACCGGGAGCGTACTGGGGAGCTGAAGGAGGAGCGTATTGAGGAGCTTGAGCGGCGTACTGAGGCTGGGGAGCGGGGGCGGCGTACTGGGGTTGAGGAGCTGGGGCGGCATACTGGGGCTGCGGAGCGGCATACTGGGGTGGGGGTGCCTGGTACTGAGGGGCTTGATATTGCGGGGCCGCCGGTGCAGCAGCTGGGGCAGCGTAGCGGGGTGCAGGAGCGGCGTATTGTGGTGGGGGTTGATACGAAGCGGGAGGAGGAGCGGATTTGGCAGAATCGATGGGGCCTTCCTGGGGTGCGGGTCGGGAGATCTGGATCGATGTGTAGGGCTTACCGGAGTTGGGATCCCCTTGACTCACGGTGTAGGAGAAACCTTTGCCCTCTTGGTTGTAGTCGATCTGAGCGCCGAGCTCTTTGCCGGTCCCGACCTTCTGTCGATAAGACGGGGCCAGCACTCCGAGACCAATCGAAAACTTGTCATCGTCCTTGTCGTCTTTAGCATAGGCCACATAAGTGACAGCCAACAGCACAGAACACTGAAACACGGGAAATAATATATTGTGAGCGTGTAATCCGATCGAATACATCAGAACCAATTTTCGCGAAGCATGGGCGTCTTAAGGACCGGGGCGTACGCTCAACGCGACTTTTGACAGAATTCCCTAAATGTCGACGTTTCAAGCACTTGATCTTTCTTCTTCAAACGGATCGGATGTCGAAAGTGGACAAGTGGATCAGGAGAGCTTGACTTATGGTCGATGGCGGTGTGTTAATACACTGAAGAGACCTTCCAGCCCTGCCGCGACTCGAACCCGTGGCGCAATCGTCACAAAGACTTCCAAGGACAAATCGGGCGGGCCTGATGACGCTACGCGGCTGTCAAAATGTTCAACGCCGGTTTCGGCTAACACGAGCGGCGTCGCCGTTAATAGCTGGAAAAACAGCTCACTTGACTGACACTGTTTCATCCGTGTGGTTAGTGCTCAATTATGGAAGCCAACAAGAACAGAGCGGGTAGTCCTCTGGGAATCCGGGAGATTGAGAATGCTCAGCCCACGTAAATGGGGAACCAGCTCCCTGCGATCAGACCCTTCGCGACATGACGCAATAACTCCCATGTTGACTTCATGTTATGAAATTCGAGCTTCGTCTTGATAAGGACAGGACCGCGAAATTCCCCGGAGCTGTAATTCGAGCAATTTCCTAGAACGGGATGTTTTTACTTGCGGCGATCGGGACTCCACCATCCGTCGATGGCCGAACACAAAGTGTCAATCGCCAGCTCGAAAGCAACTGCACGAGTGAAGCTCCGCGATGTGCTGTAGATGCTCAGTGCTGATCGTCTCGGGGGATCCGCGTTCCGAACTTATCTGGATCATCATCGGAATGAAGAATTGGCCGATTGGAAAGCCGCGCATGCCGTTAGATGATCTAGCTAACGAACAATTCAAGGATCTTCTTGCCGGCGGCTGTCCTTGTGCTCAGAATATATTCAACTGATTCGCTCGAACAATTGCGACTTTGATTATCGGAAGGGGGACTAAACACGATCCAAACACAGAGATTACGTTTTTCCTCCGATTGAGGCAACATGGCTTGGGGAAGCTGCTCAGCATCCTGTTCGAGCTTCCGTCATCATCCCACGCATGGAATTTTTTCCGCATACATTACAATCGAGCGCTAATAATAACTTTCGTCCCCTACTTGTACGCAAGAGTAAAAATCGAGCCGGTCCACAATGCCGCAGCCATTGCGGAGCCGAGACGCAATCGCGCAAGCGTTTGACAATTTTTGGTCGGAACCGAAAGGACACTCTGTTTTTACGTGATTCATTCTTCTTCGGTTCGGCGCTTTAGGGAAAACTTTTTTTCCCAATCCCTCGGAACAATGAAATAGTCGAAGAAGACGGAGCGGCGGTGACGAGGGAAAGGGAAAATGGTTACCGCCAGAATTGTTTCGATCAGCGCGTGAATGATTCGCTTTGCACAAAAGTGTGCGAAGGTCAGAAACCGGTCTTCCAAGGGGCTTGGCCAAACGTTGTCATAGGTGCCCGATCCTATTGGGTCGGACGGAGTCTGAGTGAGGTAACTACTATCGGCTTCAACATTAGGCCAGATTATTGGCGACGGGCTAGCTCGCCAGATGCGGCGTCGAAGCCTCGAACCCAAGGCAAATCCAGACTTGATTGCACCGAACTACTTGGCACGGTCTAGGTTACCATGTAGTCTATCCAGAGAAGAAACCGGTTAATTGCTCCTGGAACCTCGACGTGCTTATCGGCCGTGATTAGTGAGATCGCGGCAGTATCCAAGTCTTTGAAACGATCATTGCTGTGACAATGATCGCCATGGAAGGCAATCGAATTACGCCCTTGAATCGGACATGAATTCATCGTCGCGGCAATTCCACGCGGAATAGCGCAGACGCCGCCGATCTGCGATGATTGAGGAATTAGACAGAGCCGACAGCGGACGGATAAAATGTCATGAAAAGTCAACTTAATCTTCGCTCGACTCTACCGGGCCGTCGTCGGGAGAGGATCGACGCCGCATTTTCTTCCTACAGTCCAGCATTCGGAAAATAATATCGAGATGTCGGCCATTGTTCCAAGAGACTCGCACATGCGAGATACGCACACCTTGCGCATGTTCGCGAAATACGAGAAGTCATTGAAGGAACCAGGCAGCTGCGCGAGACGGGAAGCCCAGGGATGGCTCGTGCGAATCAGTGACGCAGAGCTCCCATTAGTCTGCGGTTTCGCTGAAGTGGAGGGACGCATGACTTTGCTCTCTCGAATAAGTGTCCCGAGTTTCGCCACAAAAGGCTCCGACAACTTGAGCAGCACGAGCTCGTTCACAACACCGGCGGAAGTCACGCAATTTCTGCTCCGATAAGCAGCGACGACACAAGAGTATCCAATCCATCCTGCGGGTCGCACTTGAACAAACACAAAGCGATTTTCGATGGGAATCCTGGATCTGTTGTCCTCTAAGCGCGCGTAGGCACTGATCCACTACGGTGGCATCCCGGACTGCACCGATGAACTTCACAAGTCACACCTCGATTTCATTCTTCTATCATGATATGCTCGGGATATTATCGCTATCCATCGAAACTATCTGGCATCTTATTGGAAGTCTGGCCAGAAAAAAAATCGATCAAGCATAAAATCGCTGGGAAACCCCGAATATGATACAAAACCGTCTGCTGTCTCAAGAACTCACCTGAAAGAGCCTCATGTTTACCTGGATTTGTCTTCAGCGTCGTTTTGCGGTAGCTATCTGGGGTCCCCTTATAATGCTCATAGCTGGGCAAGGGCAGAGCGAACGGTACTTTCCAATCAGTAACTTCAGACGCCTTTTCTGCTGTGGCCGAATGCTTCGCGCCCGTCGCCATTTCCCATGCCGTGAGCGCGGAGCGGTGCCCTGTTTAGCTCAGAAACTCCGTACAATCTACCGTTGTGAAAATTCCAATGATGGCGGATTCTTGGAATATGCCCCTGCCAGCGTCGATAAGATTGCGAGTACACCCACAACCAGACAAACTGGAATTCTCCGACCGAGCGCGAAAGCTGTAGACGCAGAGAAGTCATCAATGAGAGCGAACACGATTTTCGTCGTATGAGAATACGAATTCGTTTTATTAGGGGAACTGTGACACGACCTATGCCTATCAGTATTCAATAGGTATATCAGCAAATCAAAGCGGATCTTGATTTATGGCACGACAACTCGATATAGATGTGCTAGCTGCTCTTCGGGCTCCGAGTATATGTATAGGGTTTTGTTTCTCCATATATACACGTCATACGGGTTGGGGTTATGATCGGTGGAATGATGCAGATTTCGGGACTTCACCCGATAGATATACAAATACAATGAATCCGTCCGATGCGACGTCGAGACCTTGCGAACGTCATCTACAACAGATGAGAAATGAAAAGAAGTAAAACGGTCCGACAGTGTACAAATGCACTCGCCGGAGTGATTTCTCAGTCTTCAGATTGGAAGAGATCGTTCACGTCTTGAACCACTACGCTTTTTTCAGGGATGTGAATACTTTGAACAAATCGATCAGATTGTCGTGTTCGTTCTTCCGTCGATGTCCTTGAGATGGGAACTGTCTCAGGGGACCCGGCTGTAACCACGATTTCGCTTGTCGACGCTGTTGTTTTCGCTGGAGCCATTGAAGTCGAAGCCGTGGTTCCGTCCGTAGGTGTCGGTGTGGAAGAGAATGCGATTCGGTGGTCTGTTTTTTGAGACTCGGCATCTATGACTTTTGTCTCGATATCCTTCGAATCGAGCGGCTTGAAATCTTGGAACAGATAATCAGAAGTTAATAATTGTGCGTCTCAATGCTGGGGCTCCTGGTTTCCCCTTCTCCGGCTCCTGGACGATCTACTAGACTTGAAAAATCCCAACAACATAGCAGAAATATCATGAACCGAATTTCAATGATGGGAACCTCTCAGGGAAACCAGAAGGATGCTAGCTGATTCGCTCAGAGGCATTGTCTGAATTCTGCAGCCATATCAAGGAGCTTTAAACATGCTGCCCTTCATATTGGACATCTTACCGGCCACATCCGGCAGAATTTCGCTGTCGGGATCCTCACCGCCAGGAATCTTGAGATCGATCAGATGGAAACGATTGGCTTCAGTGCTTGGCGCGGCGACACTGCCGTCGGAAATCGTGTGGTCGGTCGTAGGCTCCACAGAAGTCGAATGGCCGGAAGGTGCCGCACTTGAAGTCGTAAATTCCGATGTGGATGTTGTGAGGCTCGGTGAGCTTACTAGCAACGACACTTTCGGTGATTCTGTCGTCATAGCTGCAGAAGAGTGCGGCACCCTTATGTTTCACTCATTCAACTATATCGTACCGCGTGAATGGTCGAATCATTCATATTCAATTTTGTAATTGATCCGAAGAATCGATTGTGGAATCAGACGATTCCAATCACGGTCATGGGACAGAGGATCTGCTTGACGGGTAGATGCCAATGAGGGAAATCCTGGGTTTCATATTTCCCTTCTATACATTGACTAGCCTCATCGAAAATTACAGAATGGGAGATAGGAGAATCCCAGTGTGAGGCAATTTTTTTCATGGGAAAAATTCTCTGGGGTGCTGACAAGCCCTCTCATGTACAAGGATCCGGGGATCCAACGTGGTTGGGATTGGGACCGCTGAGAGAAAGCTCTGATTTTTGCGTTGTAACCAATTTCCTAACCATGAGAAGTTCTTTCAGGGAAAAAAATCCTTCTCAGACTGGTTCGTTTTTCGGGAGAAGTAGAATTAATTGATCTTGGGAGATTTTACGTTTTTTAACCCTGATCTTGAATTTCTCGCAATGTCGGCGCAGCGCACGCGGCGTGATTCAAGAAATCAGCATCGCTAATGAGAGACCTCTGAATCTCGCAAATCCGAGACTCGTCTTGAATGCGAGACCAATTCGGTGAGAGACGCCTCCCTGGCAATTATATTACATGAGTCATTCCGCGTGACATGAGACATGAAGGACGATGGATATGGGCGATTCCGCGAAATCTCACTTGTCTTGAAGTCTTCAAGCAGCAACATCGGATGTCCTTGTGCATCTTCTCCGACGAAGACTGTTTTGTCCCCTATCAGCTTCTTTGTCCCGATCGATTCAAGTCCATCGACCTGAAAGGTAAGTGATCCGAGGTGAGAAAGCGAGAGCTTGGTGTTGGCAGAAGCTCCTGTCCGAGTGAAAGACAAGATCTGCAGGGTTGAGGACGAAAAAAGTCGATGAGCAGCCCTTCGCCACTGCGGCGAATCCAGGAGCAACTTGCTGCGGAGAGTTCTGAAGACCATTCGGTCCAAAAACTACAATCTTTCCCGACTGGGGCAGCGTCCAATGAGACTGAGCTAGCTGTTGCCAACGCTCAGCAGTCTCTTTCGCGTCATTGAAGCTCTGGCGGAAATCCGTGGAAGCGTTCCGACCAACAACAAACATTTCCTGTCTGGAGCCCATTTTTCTCAAGAAGTCAAATCATTGACGAGGGAATTACGCAGACTCATGCACCATTACGAGCAGTCACTTTGCTTGGACTCACCGAGGGTCGAAAGGTGACGGTGTCTGGACTCTTTTCCCCAAGTCGATTCGTCTTTGTTTGATTCGCCGACTTCCCCCAGCCCAGTAAGTGACGGAAGGGCGCCAAGATTCCGCTCAACGTTGCGTGGACGACGATGGCTTGCGCGATGCACAAGACAATCAGGGCTCCGGTGAGCTTCATTGTGATCAGTCGTTTCGGTGGCAACAGAAATCGAATCGTGTTCTCCTGGCTTCCGCTGTGAAACGCTGCGCGTCTCACTGCTGTCAGCGGATGGGAAGAACGTGCATTTGCCAAACAAAACATTACCGCACGGAGAGGATCCTTCAGGCGTGCACTTGGAGTCGGTAGCTGCCTCGTCGCCTTTCTGGGAAACGACTGAGTGACGATTCGGCAGAATTCGCTAATGACGGAGAACAAAACATTTATAGCGATATCTTTAAAAATAAACGCATGAATATCGTCTTCGGCGAGCGATGCGGTCTTCCTGACACTAGCTTCAGTGAAGGTCGATGCTTCCAGTGGAGCGCGACTGTACTCAGTAGCTATATCTGTTTGTTGCGAGATACGAATTCCGTGATCGCCCTCCCGCTATCTTCTCAGATTCAGTTGTCTATCAATCTCGTTCGAGCGCACTCGCTCAAGCATTTGCAAGTGAGCTTTGGTGGTAAATTTATTCTCTAGGGAAAAGTGAGAATATTTTCTGGACCGCAGGCCGAAGGTGCCAGTACTGAATAAGTGTCCTGTGAATTCGATTCTCGTTAAGAATTCGTTCCATCACTGTCGCAGAGGAAGAGTTGGCGACACATGGTTTCTCTCCGATATCAAGTCGATCACTCGTGGTACCTGGATCATCGGCCCAGAGAACCTCAAATCGAGGCGTCGTTACAGGTAAACATTCGGTTTTCCATAAGCAGGGAAGGGGAAATTCCGCGGACTCCAAGTACTCCCTCGCGAGGCAACGACCATATGTGTACTTCATTCTCCGTACGGCGATGAGGCTAATTAACTTATATTCACTCCTTCACGCCGTACTTGACGTCCGCCACGGAGGGAAATCTCAGGGACATTCCGTCCGGGCGGATCCGCTTCAAACTTCCCTGTGTCTGCTGAGACTGAGCGAAGGGCGTGGGACATGCCACCCGTGGCGCATCGCGATGATTTCGGCCCTTGCTCGGAGAGCCCCGATTTGGGAAGAGCGATTTCCGAAAACCCCGGGATTCCGAACATTGCTCGAGAAGTCTCGTCAACGACCGAATCCGCCAATCGTAAGGAGCTGTTCGGGATGAGTGACGCAACGAACACGGGAATCCCCTGATCCCAATCGCCGCATTTTCGGCGGTCGGAGGAAAAGCGATTTGCAAGGAGCTGCTCCGAAGGGTGGACCGCCCGGGAATCGCGCTCCGCATCTCGGCTTCCGGAACAAAGAAACACGAATTCTCCTCATGATGAGCGGAAGCGCCACCATATGCTATGCCTGAAGAATGAGGCTCGGTCAATTCACCTGCAGGATCAGCCATTGATCAACTTCCACCTGTTCCTCGGAAGCTGACTGAGGGCCGAAAGGGATCTTCGCTCATGCACATTGTGTCGGAAGATTCTGAGGCAGAAGCAATCAATTGCAGTTGCATCGACTGGTCTTCGAGGTCTGAAGATACAGCGTCAAAAATAATATCTCATTGTCTGCCGGTATCACAAAACGACGCGTGGTCCGGTCGAGGCTGCGTATAAATGTTCGATATTGAAGCCGATCTTAACAATGCTCACGTCTTTGCTTGCGTAATGAGCAGCGGACGGTCATGACCGGCACACATATCGGAACGACCTTGAAAATATAATGCGAGGAGGAGTCAATCGTCGTCCAAGATGTTGTTCTTGTTCATGTCAGCACAGGCGACGCGACGTCGGTCGTCGTCAACGTAGTCGTGAACTATTTCATCGAATGACCACACCCACCCGTTGAGTAGACCGAGTGGCGCCCTGATAAATGGAAACACATCTTCTTCTTGTTTTAGTCAAGCTAATGACAATTGAGAGCGAGCCTTCGCCCATGAATCACTTTTTATGACTGATCGCCGTCGCTCGGTCACATGTTAGATCGCCCGACGGTGTGTTTGACGAGAGAGGGAGAGACTGCCACGGGTGCCGTCGGACGGGAGACCTTGTCAAGGCTGTTCGACACCCGCCATCTATTAGTATCATAGCTTCACCCCTATCCCTTTCGGTATACTTATTATGGGATTGTAGTTTGATCGTGCTCTGGCTCGCTCTGATAAGTCCTTATCGGTTAACGAGTTGTACGGTGCCCCTGACGTGAGGAGCCTATTTGGAGCTGCTTTCTTCAAAAAATATGAAGTTAAATAATGAAGAGTCGCTGAATCATCGATGAAGACTCCGAAACATTCCTGCTGGAGCAGCGGTCACATTTCCCGAATCGAAGACGCTATGCCTACGTACGATCACTCTGGGGGAGTAGCTTCGAAGACGGACGTTGAGAAAAAACGAGGTTTGCGCTAAGTGGCTTCACTCAGAGTCTCATCTCGCGGTCGCCTTCTCCCGATACTCAACTCGAACATCAGGCGACCACCGAAAGAAGTGAAGGATATAAGAAAGGAGGAGACAAGAGATCTGTCCTTGTGCAGGAAGAATGTCCTCGGCTCCTCGTCGATCAGAAATCGTGATTTCACGAATCAGCGACCCGGGGTTTCAACCTCAAAGCGAGGCGAATGCGTTGCCGCATTTCTCTAAAGGGATGCGTCATGAGGATTCCAGAAGCTTTTCTCTAAGGTTCTTGGGGCGGAGAAGCGCTAATCGTGCTAGTGAGACAGTCGATTCTATCCAGTTCGTTCGGACCCACGCTCAGCGTTGGTGGATGGAACGCTAGGGTACTGAGGGTCTTAGCGCGAGCTCCGTTCGGAACTTGAGATAGAAGCAAGACTTCAAGCATGGGGCTGTACGGAAAACGGAGAGGAAGAGCACAGAAGCAGATGAACGCCGAGCGCTCTGAGCTCGAATGTGAAGAACCAGTGGATCGAGCCGCATCGGAGAAACATTCCAGGAGGCGAGCGGTGATCTGTGGCCTGTTCTGCGACGACCCGAGGCTACAGATATTACCGAGTTGTCCCTTCTTTATGGGCGCATGTTTATTGGAGGGATTAGTAGGTGATGCTGCCGCGAGTTTCGTGGTCGACACGCCGTAACGGACAACTATCGCTCGACGAGAGAGAGACCGTACGCTGTCCTCTCTTGTTCCCAGCCAGAGTTCTGTCTGTACTGTCTGTCTACCGTCCGTCGCATACATCTACTCCAATTCCCCTGTTCAAGTTCACGCGGCTGACTGAACGGACGTTAGATCTTCACGGGTTCTCGCAGTCGTCCGTCGCTGGTGACGACGGTTTCCCGGTGCCGAAATGTCGCACGTTCACGTGAAGCGCTCTCCGGAACTCGAGGAAATCATAACCGATGCTCCGATGGATACTCTGGCCGTTGGGGAAGTTTTTTACGCAGCCGTAGCCACCACAGACCTTGGCCTCCCTGTGGGGCAGTGTCGGCGATGCTCACATGTCACAGGACTCGAACGCTTCCACATGCGAAGAGTATCTGAAGATCTAGTCAGGTGGGTCTCTCCTGCGACGAAAAGATCTCCCCGAAAGACTCAACCCATACCATGATTATCTCTGCTATAGGATTTCATTCCGTTAGAGCTCAGGTAGCCTAAGAAAACAATCGCTCTTGCCTCGCGGGGATCGGATCGTTCAGTGAGGTTGAGGAAATCATTCCCTGGTCGACAAGGAACTCGCTCAGTCTTGTGCGAAGATTGCGAGCTAGAATATAGAGAGCTTCCACTCCGAAGTTCCGGGAGGATTCGGCCATCGTAGGAGACTCGGCTTCTTTGGATGCATCGAGCTTAGGTGAACCTGAGGTTGGTCGCGCGGCGGAGGATATTTGAGAGAAGGCGGCGGACGCTTCTCCAGATTGGACTGCGCCGGATCTGAGGCCGTCTGCTAAGAAGTGCATCTCACTCAAAATAAGGTGGTCCATGGAGTTCTGTGGAATGCCCCACAAAGGAGAGGTTTTCTTGCATTCGGTGGAGAAATCTGGGATCCGCGATACTAGCATTTAGACTCTACCGTACGGCTTATACGAGGGCGATGTAAACCTCTGGATTAGTGGAGTGAGTGGATTTGGACTCACTCCGACTCGTTCCCTTCGCCCGAGCAAAGCGGGATGACCGCTCTGCAGAGTTCTTTGAGAGCCCCGTCGATACCTGTTGACGAAATCAGTCTGGAATGCAGCACGAGAATGCACATCAGGTGGAGCTGATGCTTCTCGAGGACCTTCGTCGCAATACTCATCGTGCCCGTGCTCGGAAGGCGGCTACGATTCGCAGAGGGAATGTGCTTCTCCCAGAGTGAAACGGGTCGGCTATTCATTCGAGTTGTCTCTCCTTCTCTCCTCTTCATCTCTGGATCTCCAATACAGATCGGGAGCCTCGTAGGAAACACGCGATATGCGTTCCCCGATCCAGTTCAATGGAGTTTCCGAAGTTTCAAGCGTTGTGCGACTCATATGGAGCGCTTAGTGCGAGACTTTGGCCCTCGGGGATCGCGCCCGCATTCTGCGCAGTTTCCGAACCGATGGACGGAGCCTCTCCTCTTAGAATTCGTGATTCCAGCCCAACCCGTACTCGTCTTACTGAACAGTTCCACCTTCCATGAAACTCGCTCTTCGATAGAGGTTCGTCACCCAGTATAGCCATTCAAAAGTGTTCTACTTGTATTTCCAGGCGACACTCGCTCGTGCCGGATCCATTCCGCAAACATTCTCTGAATATCAACCTCCTGAACGGACGCCAAATGATTCGGCGGACAACTCTCGATGAGGCCGAGACGAAAGAAATGCACTTCGAGGAGTCCGCCAAGGCTACCGCAATTCAGATATTCATTCCGTTCCTGGCCGCTGGGCTGGGTATGGTAGCCGCGGGAGTGCTCCTACATAATGTTCTCGTGAGTTTCGCGCCGACCATAAAACGCTTCAGCGGTACGTGAATCGTTGCGCTCCGGGACTTCTTCCTGATTGGGCAGAGATGTCCATCCCGAAAACTCCAACAGCAATCGGAGTTGCGTGGACTACGAGCACGATCGGACACACTCACCGGTGACATACACTCAATCTATCAATGCGCTCCGCTCGGAACGCCGGGAGATGAATGAGGCTACTTCCCAAACGATGACGGATCACCGGAGATCGTCATCGAATCGCTGACCACAATTCGAGCAGAATGAATGAGTGAATTGATTAATGAATGGATCGTTTCCGAACCATCGCATCGCGATGAACAATAATCATGACGATCGCCGCGGTCACGCGCACTATGGAAACGTATTTCTTACTGAGCAACGAAGACAATTAGAGTCGACGACCCATGGGAGAACGTTGCCAAATGTGACTCAATCCGTGGGAAAAGTTTTATTCATAGCCGAAAATGTAACACTAAAGTCAGCAGACGGATCTGGACATCCTTGTGAAATTCCGCCGTAGTCGGAGAAACGCGCTTTAAATTAGAGCCGATCAATAACGAGCCGGTTCCCACACCGCGGTCACAATTCCCATGCCGGAGGATTTCGTTTTGTCAGAGATCCCCTTGATCAGCCGGATATTCGATTTTCGATTGGCATCGGCGATGAGTAAATCTTATCTCTTCTTTCTCAGCTCTGGAAAGTCTTCACTGAAGTCGAAACGTTCATCGTTCTGGTACCCGCACTCCTCGGTCTGAAGGGAAATCTCGAGATGACCATGGCAGCCAGAATGTCGACCGAGATGAATACCGGTAGCATGGATACCTTGAAAGAACAGTGGATTCTCGTTTCCGGAAACCTCGCTCTGACCCAGGTTCGAACCTCTTCGAGACTCCTTTGGGGTCAAATTTATCGCTCATGAAGTCTCCCAGGCCGCGGAGGGAATTCAGTTGGACTCGAGTAGACTCTCATTCCGATTCCCCTGACTAGTGTCAAGCCACGGTCGTTGCTTTTTTGGCGTCCATGTTCGCCATCGGTATGGGAGCGATCCAGGGTCAATCACCGGTACGTCTCGACCACGGACTCTTGCTGACGGCGTCTGCTCTCATCACGGCTTCCGTGGCTTCACTGGTGCTAGGAGCAGTGATGTCAGTCATTATCATCGTCTCGAAAAGGTTCAACATAAACCCCGACAATGTTTCAATACCGATAGCGGCCTCTCTGGGTGACATAACAACTCTTGCCCTGCTCGCCGGCTCCGGAGACATGCTCTACACGGGCGCCAGTGAGTTCACAAAATTAATGGATTGAAGTATCGATCAGACGCGCATGGATTGATGAGTCCTCTTCTGGCTGTCCCCAGTCTCAGATGCTTGCTTATATCGATGTGAACTTCCGACAATTTATCTCTGATTCCAGCCGATGTGCGTTTGTACATCTGCATTGTGATCTTCTTCATATTGTTCGTGCCGCTGTGGGTTCAGATCGCTCGCGGAAACGTCTACACGAGAGACGTTCTGGGACCTGGATGGGTGCCGATCATCTCGGCCATGTTCATTTCCAGGTGAGTCAGAGGTAGAAGCAATTGGGCTTCCGTCTCTGGAATAGATTCGTCGGTGCCAATGAGAAGGCACTTGAACTGCTCATTGATTTTCAATGGAATATCCAAATCATTTTCGGCTTTGATGAATAATCGATAGCAGAAGATTCCGCGCAGGCGATTCCTTTTCCGGAGTTTTCGGCCACGAGACGCGATGCGCGATTCGCTTCGCGTTGAGAACGATGCCGACCATCTTCGCAGATTGACAATTGTGTCCCGAGCGAACACGATTGAGATCACTCAGACTGGTCTCCCGGTTCAAGGACACATATTTTCCGTGTCATTGAATGTATCTTTTGTCTATAAGCTGTTTCGATAAAAAATCGCAATTTCCGTCTCTCGTTACAGTCCTTGAAAATGAGTTCAAATTATAACAGCGTCAAGGGCATGTGACTCCTTCCTCGAATCTCTCTCAAGCCCACCTATCTCCGAGCCGTCTCGTGTTTTCGTGCGAAATAATTCCATCTTGCTCTCCGGCGTTGGCCTGTTCTTTCCCCGCTTGGTCGTCTCAGAAAAGAGGAAAACTGTGCGGAGGAGGCTGTGTTTGTTTATTACTCTGTTCACCCGACACCCGGCTCGCTACCGGCACCAGAAGCCGGACGGAGGCGATTGTAGCTGTCTTGTGTTACATCACGATAACTGTTGATAGGTCTCTCTTGACCGGTTTCTCCGGCTCAGTGGCTCGTCGCTCACTCGGCTGATTTTTAAGAGCTAACTGATTTGTGGCCAGTAATCATCAGTCGTCTCTAATCTCGTTCCAGCGCCGCCGGCTCCATCATGGACATGCATGAACATCTTTTCCCTCGGCTCCCCCCTCTGCAGCCGGTGATAGCGGGTGTGGCAGGGAACCTTGTCGCCACACAATCTTCGAGAATATCAACTTTCCTACACGCTCACTCGGAGTTCGACGCATCGCGAGTGTGCGTAGATCCCATTTCGGTATTTTTCGGTAAAGGTCGCAATTCTAGGACGGCTAGAATCCTACTCGCGATGGTGATCCCCGGTCACTTGATATTCACATTCTTCCTGTCGTTATTCGTGGGTAATCTCAATTTAACTGTGCCTTTCCTCGGCTTCTATCTGGCGTGCGCACTCTTTCAAGTCGCCATCCTGTTGTATCTTGCTCGTTGCATGGTATTCTGGTTCTGGCAGAAGGGCCTGGACACCGACAGCACGTCCATACCGTATCTGACTGCGCTGGGCGATCTCTTGGGCGTTTCGCTCTTGACCCTATGTTTCTATATCTTGCGCGTCCTGGGAGACCCGAACGCCACCTCGATAGTCCCCGTTTACTCGACCTCGACCGCAGCTTTTAGTAATAGCACATTGAATTCACCGTGAGAGTTCCTCTGGTTTCCAACAGTTGGCGTCAGATTCCCGCCCGAAAACTGTGATCGCCGTTGTGTAGAAAAAAATTATTGCAAGGAAGTCACCACTCAAGCTCTTCGTTGCCTTGTTCCCAGCATAGTTTTTGCTCGTAGCTAATTGATTGGACGAAGGACTGCTCGCGTTGTAAAGCAAGAGAGACGGAGAGCACTGTCTCGATATCGTAATTGTGGAGGAGAATGTTATGTTGTCGGATAAATAAAAGAAAGCGGGGCACCTCGCGTTATTAAACGTTTATTCCGGTCATCCTTCCCGCAGCGGCTTACTGGGGAAAGAGACCGCTTGAAAGATCCTCGTCGGACATGTCTACATATTTACACATTTACAAGCAAGTAATCTTGACAACTTTCATCGAAACTAGTCTTCAAAGTTCATCTGACTGGTTGACTCTATTGGCGGGGCTTTACGGTTTCGCGATCTCCTCGGAAAAACTCCCTCTTGCCCATACAATATAAACGTAGATCGTGCTCTGCATCAGCCGTTGAGTCAACTCCAGTAAAGATATTGTCGGGCAGCCGGCTCTTACGGCTTTGCCGTAGTAATGTCGTATAAAATGATTAGACCATCTCGCGATCAAGAGTACGATCGGGAGCCAAATCAAACAAAATCCAATGTGGAGGAGCACATCAGAGCTCGAGAAGCCGCTCTTCGTCAAGCCGGAATGAAGGGAAAGAAGCGGTGCAATGAATGGTGTCACCAGGAGGCTGAGGGCAACTCGTAGTAGTTCATTCTCGCTCCCGAAGAGCGTCGCGTCAGGAAACTTGTACGGAGTGCATCGAGCTGTTTCCACCTGAAGGGAGGTACTGACGTGCGACGCATGGATGATGGCGAGGAATCCAGTCAACGAGAAGATGAGTTCGATCTTGGGATATTTCTCGTAGACTCCCGAACTCACCGTCGCGAATTGCCTTCCCGTGGAACGAATGATTCATGAGAAGATAGCTCATTAAGCATCGGGTCCTCCGAGAGACCAAGATTCGAATGGAGCAAAATATTGTGCGCATTCCATTCTCGGCCGAAAGCAATCGCACCAGGCGAAATTCCGAGCTGAGTGACTCACATGGAAAGCACGGCTGTCATGGCGATCGCCGGAACGAGATCCCCAATCGGGAACATGCCATGAGATGATTTCGTAGCGAAATAGCACAGCGAAAGTATGATATCGATCGTCAGGAGGAAGGCTGATGCTTCGAGGATAAAAATCAGATTAGCGCATTCGCCGTGATGAGATTCCTAGGAGCTCTGAAGTAATCAGCGATAGTTTGTTGTCAGTTTTCAGGAATGGGAATCATCAGAAATTTTATCATGAGAATAGCTGGAGCTCACCGGAGCTTGGAGCACGATGGATCATCACAAAAAGCTCCATGTAAACGAAGTGGCCGGCAACACTGGCCAGTGGCACAACCACTATGTCGGGGTCCAGACGGATGGCTCTCAGAGCGTAAGTCAGCGAGTACAAGGGGACGTAGAGGGTCAAAGCTGTGGCAGTTGCAGCTTGCAGGGAAACGTATATCAGATCAGACACTGCCTCGACAGTGAGGTGCTCATGTAACTTGTAGTGGAAACCAAGGAGAGTATTGGCGCCGATGGTGATGACGTAAACAAGGAGCACGATCAACGGGGATAATACCGAAGACAAAGTTCCCTGTAGCTGAGAATTGAAAACAAATATAGAGGGGACTCTCTCAGAGCCTTGGATGGGATCATTATTTATTAAACATGCAGGGCGGTATGATCTCGAATAGAAACTCATCATGGTTCCCTAACCATTGTTAGGGCGAGCTCTGCCAGGATCGCTCTGAAGCGCTGAGATCGCGTGCGGCTCGCAGCGTAGCTCAGCGCTCTCATATCACCTTGTTGCGAGTCCTCCTTCAGACAGAAATGTACGTGACAGGCAGCGCTTATCCGCGAAGCGCTCATCATACACAGAACCGAGATGAAGGCCAGTGCCACGTGAAGCTGTCGTTTCAGGTATTCTTCTTCGTGGAGCCACGGATATTGCATCTGAAACCAAAGTGAAGGAATACTGACTTATCTTTTATGATGGCGTAGAAGGAGTCGTCCGGTACATCGCTCTCTACTTGGATCCTCAGAAAAACGAAGCCACACGTTCTCAGTTCTGTTGAAAATACTACTTTTATTTGCCGTAGAGAGGGCGCGGACGATCTGAGCAATCACGAGCGAACGATGACGCAATGGACTTTCATTGCCTTCGCTTGAATAGTCGGTCCCAGGACTCATTTCTCCGGAGCTGTCGTTCGGTTTAGGGCGCATCGAGCTGCAGGGAGAAACACAAGCTCGAAGCTCAACGTGACGAAAAGGAAACCGACTTGCACCACTACCGTCCAGTAAAGAGATTTCATAGCCTCGAGGACTTGTTTGCTGAATGAAATTATAGCCATGTTTTCGTCCCGAGTCGGCATGATTCCGATCGACCTCGCTTGCTTGCACCTCAGAATGGATTCCCATTCTCCTGAGGAAAAATCTCCCTCGGCCGACAACTGTTCCTCCGGAGTGTCCAAGTGTGACTCTGCGACGAACTGCTGGTTGTTTCCCCTGTCGTATGCCAGGGCATCCGATTCTGCTGAGGGTCCCCTCGACTTTCGCGACATCGTCGTCCGCGGAGCCTAAGCTTGCTGAAGCTGAATCTACTGCATGCGGTCTCAGAGGAAAAGCCGAGGAACGACTGCAATCCGAATCTTGATATTTGTTGGCAGCTCTCATCTCGAAGCTCCTCTGTCTCCTTTCGAGGAGAGGAGTGCGCAAATCAACCCAAAACAACCATACCGTGCGTCGATATCTCCAATCCAGTCTCTGAGCGAGCTCATTTACCGCACATAGATGAAAGCATCAAGTATTTATCGTTGCACTCACTATGTGCTCTTCGGTGTGCTCGGAGAGCCAAACTTCGGCCAGCCCGCACAGGAGCAAAGAGAACAACATCTGAGAGCCAACATTGAGCACTTGATTTCTGTTCTCAAAAACCGATCCGCGGCCAGGACTCGAGAATAGCTGAATTTTCTTTCCTCCGACTTTCACCATCTTCACCGGACGAGTCAGCTGACGGTCCCTTCATTTTTGGGAGAAGTTTCGAACACAACAACCATCGAAACCATCGGAACCAAACACCAAGGGGGGATTTCGTCCCATCAGACATCTACGGATGTAGCACGCGCAGAGAGCCCCGCTATTCGGAGGCTATGCCCACGTCCCGAGAGGAAAAAGGAGTCGCAAATGCTTGGGATAAAAGGTTTTATTTCCTAGATGCGCTGAGTGAAATCTGAGCTGTAAGAAGAATTCAGCCCAGGGATCATTCGATAAAGTTATTACCGGGTTCCGTGGGGACGACTGTTGATCCGGTGATTACGGAGCTCGAAAGTCGCAGTCCTCTCAGATCCGGTGCACCAAACCGGTGAACAACGGCAGGAAGGTCTCGCTATCTCTGTTGACGCGATAAATGATCGAAACATAGAAGGATCTGTCGACAACCATGGGGATCGGCTCCACCGATGGGAAAGAGGCAAAGCGAGTTATCGCTAAAACGGTGGCCGCTGCAGCTTCGGTGCCGAATCTGGTCACGATCATCTAGGAAATCCAGAGGAAATATTTGAGCTTCTGGATTACATCACGTCGTTGTGTCGTCCTGGTTCGGGACTCTTGACTACCTGATGATCGTTGTTAGTTACTCATCACCAAGGGATTCTCCCCTGGGAAATAAAGCACCTTTGACTGATGGATCACTTTATCGATGTTGGTTCGTTGGCTCGATATGCCGGTGAAGTCCGCCTGACCCGGTGTGAAAGCCGACGGCATCCCCATGGTTGGCAACACTCTCTCGAGATCGTAGCGGCCGTCGAGCTCGAAAGCGGGCATAGTCAGATGAACTCTCGTATCTGTGGGCCGAGGTGGAGTTTCCGGATTTCAGGAAAATTGCTCGTTCCATAAATGGGGCCTTTACCTCGAATTAGCATATTGAGACCCATGCCTAGATTTTACTCACGGGACATGTTCCTAATCTCAGATCGGAGGGCTTCCCCCGAAATTCTTTCGAACCAAGCTTGTGTGTTGCACTTGTGCTCTTCGTGGGGCAGCATGATGAGCATTTCCACGACGGTGTCGTCGCTCACATAGGGCAGCAGAATCATCTGCGCTTGCAGGTTGGCAGAGTCGAGGTACTTGTACCTGAATATCCCGAAGGGTTTTAGTCAATCGACCGTCATCATCGGGATCAATCAGGTATTCGAGCGAGCTCCGGCATTCGCATACGAGCGCTCCTTCTCACACACGCATAGACAGACGCCTCATTTTTTCCTTGTTCATGTGCGTGGAGAACTTTCGGTGGTTGTGCAGAGAATAAAAGTCATCACCTCGATGTCACCATCAGACGCTTCTCAGGCTGTGATTGCAGCTCCGCACAGCCCTCATTGAAAATCCAGGAACCGGGAACCTCGTCCATGCGATGCGTCCAAAAACCTTTAAAATACACGGTGTTGATGAGAGCCAGCATCGTGCTCGGACTCAATGGCTGCTTCAATACGTCCTTGATGAGTCCTCTGGTACGTTCGCTGACAAAAGCATTGATTTCGTTCTGGATTTGCGAGCCGTTCTTCAGGAAATCAACATTAAGCGCCTCCGCGAGGAAATTCTCTGCGATATCCGTTTTGAATTCATTCCGGGTCGGGAAACGAGAGCTTATGTAGAGACGATTCGCGGCAAGCAGAGTGAAGGATGTGCCTGCAAGATATTAAACACGTGGGTTCGGTGGTTCGTCTCGGGATTCGACCTCTCCCCGGAAGTCATTGATTCTCTAATTCCGGCATATGCTAGTGGGCATCAATCTTCATGAGAATCAGCGGCTCCAACAACTCACGCGGGTTTGGATCCACTGGATCTGTCGGATTATCGTGTTTACGACTCAGGATCGACAAGAAAGCTCTTCTGAGCGACAGCTCGTCGATACCCTGGAGGCCCATCGAAGTGATCATTTCCCCTTTCGTTGAGCCCCCTGCGCCTACAAGGGCCATGTTCAAGGCTGTGGCGACTGAGAGCGGCGAAACAAGGATGTTTCCACGAGGCTCTGAGGAAGCCAGTTTTTGACTCAGTTTATGGCCGAAATTCCCGAGGGCATTCCAGAGCTTGAAAGAATAAACATGTGTATTTTCTAATGGAACATCACCCGCACGAATTCATTCCTCTCCGAAAATCGCCCTTCGACGTTTCGATATCGTGTCCCGAAAGGGCGATATTCTACCGAGGGAGACTGCCTACGAGTGTATCTGTCTCTTGAGAGTCATGATGTCATTATATTGAACTCACCTTAATTTCTCCATCGTTTTGAATCTGTTGGGATGAAACGCTCACTATGAAGCAGAATTGCATGAGCGGAATCGCTTTCATCATGACTCTTGTCTCGAGAGACGTTCTGCGAGTCACACCAGACCGACGAATATATTCACCGGAATGATCCTTCACGGCGACTCTTCTCTTTCATTTACGAGACGAAGGATGTATTCTCGAGCGCAGATATGCTGCGAGGTGTCAGATGACTCCTGCAAACAAGGGATGAGAATGTTTACCACGGCGGAACACTTCGGCGAACGTAGTTCCTCTTTCCTTCATTTTGCTCGTATAGATGAAAATCAGTCTTGATCGTGAAACTATTTCGGAGAGTGAAACAGAATTTTCTTTGAAATGACGCTGCGCAACTCGCGGAATACGTACACGCGAATGAAGCGGGCGGGTAGATTCAGACGTTCTCGAGAAAAACACCCGTCATTGGAAATATTTGTTCGCAAAAGAGAATAAGTATTTCTTCTTTTCCTTGCCTCGCTGCAGAATAGTTGAGAGTCGTGACGACCTTCCTTTGGGGTACGAGGGGTTCCTGGAGAAGCCAACGGCGCCGGCGTGGCCCCGGGCTGCAACTCCGATATCTCCCTTTCGCCGAGGGCTCAAGACGGGCAGCCGAATACGTTCGGTGTCTGCGCCTACCATTTCTCGGGGTGACTGTTTTCCGCTTGGCAATTAGGCAAGGCTTGACTTTTGCTCCCCTCGGGAACCTATCACCGCTTGACGTTTATCCGGAGAGGAATCAATCTACTGGAGAGAATATTCCGGATCATCTAGCGGCATAATATTCTTCGATCAATATCGAGCGTTGGGATATGATTGGATGACGCAATACTTTGCTCGATATAATTTTCTCAAGTGTTCTGATTCCCGTACATCCGAGGCTGCTCTCAAGTGCTACGAGTGTATCGCTTCGTCTTTCCGCGGATCTGATCAAGCTCAATCAATTATAGCTGACTATCTCGCACCTCCATGCAAACCTCTCTCGCTGGACCTATCTGATACGAGCCACTGCGCCGAGACCGAGATGGTTGAGCTGATACAGGTGGCTTGAGAAATTCGGAGCTCGGGAAGTTCGAGATCGGGGAGGGAGTTTGAGGTCTCCTGCCTCTTCAGGATTAATCGAGCACCTTTTCGCTGTCATATCGATTCTGTTAGGCACATCGGGCGCCCAGGAGGCCTGTCGGATATAGTACTCAGAGTTGAGGCCCCCTTCTTGATCTTAGACGAAATGAGATCACGATCACTCAAAGAATATAAGCTCCAGAATCCTGATATTTTATTGCAAACTCAATTAGGGAGGAAATCCTCTCGGCGAGGACTGTCGTGTCAGTTTCTGCATTGTTCCAGAGTTTCGCTGTCGTACCCGATATCGTACATGCACATCTTCGTTCCATTCCCTCTGAATCTGCACACCAGACTGCAGCAGTCTACGTTCTCCTCACACACCTGCGCGAACAAGCCGTAATATGGAAGCTCGATTTCGAAAGCGTCACTGCTCCGAAGGTTATCCCCTCCCCCTGCAGCTGAAAGTCGAAATATGCCTGAGGTAGGTCGGGAACCTCTACCAGATCATGAATCTCACCTCGCATGGCGGAGCACAACTAAGGACCGATTGAAAAACCAAGAGCGAAACAAGAGCAAAAGTAACAGTCATTCCAGCCCGCATGTTCACATACCTCTGGACAGCTAGACTTTTGAGCAGACTTTTGTGGCACTGGCCAGATGGCGGGAGTCACGACTCCGGCGAAATTAGAGTGAGTCGAGTGATTTAGTGGTGTCAGAATAGATTTCTTGACCGCCGGGTGACATCAATGAGCTCATGATTCCTTCAATCGACACATGAAATGTCCCACCTGCTCATTCCGAGCCGGTCGATTCGAGCTTGCCCCGTCCGGATTGATTGCGACCCATCAGCCCGGATACCCGAAAACCACATGAGCCGGCTGATAACAACAATAATAATAATAATGATAGACAATCATTAAGCGCCAATCGTTCGGACAAGAATCACTCCGGGGCTTCGATCGAGTGTACAGTCGTGGATACTTTATTTACAGATTTCGTACCTAGTCTAAACGCTATATCGATACAGCAGGTCTACAGATTCATTCGAGGATCACCTAGGAGGGAACTTTCACACGAGACTATCTTTGCTCCTGCCAAAAACAGACGCCGAGAAAATCCCCGATCGTCGACGAACCTCACTGGCCGATCTCGTGAAGCAACTTATGGTCTTGTCTTCTTCCGAATCTGGACTGCGGTTCAATTCTTTCAATGAACCCTTCTCAACAGTGCTCCTTTTTATGCTTCTCAGAGGAGCCCTGCCCCGGAGTCTTTCTGTCGGTGGGGGTGGCGGGGGAGGTCGCGATGCCCGAGGAGGCTCTGGTCCAGGCGGACCTGTCAGCAGACTCGGAGCCACGGGTGCGTGAACGTGTCTCAGATCACTTCTCAATATGTTCAGAAATGAGGGAGCCAAACCGATGCCAGCGTCTGCTCTGTTATCGTGGTGTGGGAGGACTCGCTCGTTCATATTCCTGCCTCTGCGCTGTTCTCCCAAGTTGTCACGCAGAGATAAAGCGTCGATCCGTGACCGAAGAGTTTCGTCCTGGAGCGATCCGTGAGAGCTAGCGGAGGCGTAGATGTGTTCTTCTTTGAGACTCCAGTTCGACTTGCTGCTCTTCGGACGACGGGGATGCTCAGCGGAGCCATCGACCTCGATGCAGCCGGCAGTCGCGCTCAAACCGTCGGGTTCCCCTCGAGTTTTCACAAAATGGGAGAAAGCACCGTCACCGACGCTGATTATCCGGCTCCGCCGACTCATCGAGCTCGGGGCGGGCTGGAAGTCCGCCGAAGGCTCCGCGCGCAGCGATGCATGGCTCCCAAGCGATCCGTCGTCTTCATCGGTGTTCACACTGTTCTCGGGATCGTCCTGGACACTGTGGATCTCATCCTGAGGATCGAGAGGATCGAGAAGCGCTTGGAGAGCCTGTAAAGCGAACTCTATCGTCCTCGGGTTCGCGGCTCGATCCAACCGGAGCGTCACTTCGTCTCGTCCCACTTCCATGAGGTCGAATCCGAGGGACGCCAGCAGCTCGTGACAGCCCGGAACACTCCACAGCTTCACGCTGACCGGACACTCGACGCTCTGTTCGACGCGTGCCTCCCCTAATTGGCTGACAACACGTCTCATCAAATGAACGATGTCATCTATGAGCTCTCCGTTCGACATGACCTTGGCAATGGCGCCTTGGGTTTGCGCCGAGAGTCCCAGGAGCGCCTGGAGGTTCGAACTGCATCGATTGAGCCTGTCCCCGGGATCGGCTTGAGGAAAGAACACGGCTGCCGGGAGATTATTTGCCGCGGGTTCGAATCGGAATCCCACGGAAATGAGCAATTCCTTCCAGCCTGATACCGAGCAGCCGATCTTGTTCTCTATGGACTTCTGTGTTGTGTACATAGCGTTCCGCTGTCCGCGGTGGATTCGTTGGAGAGATTTCTCGACGAGGTGCAGACAGACCCGGAGGGCATCTCGGCTCTTCTCCGGTTCTCTGAGCATTTCCACCAAAGCTTGACCCATCGCAGCGGCCTGATAAGCCACTCGTACATCTGTGCCGATTAGAATGAAACTCGACCAGTTCGCCGGATGAGCGAACTGCTTCGTGGTCTGGATCGTTCTCATGGCCTCAGCAAGGGCCGCGGCCACCTTCGAGCCCTGCAGGAGCGACGAATAGAAGGTTCTGTAGAGAATTTTCACCGCGGTATCGGTCACGGGCCACAAGGAGAGAATCACGCATTGCGCACCGGCCGCGAGGAAAGCCTTCGAAATCTGGGTGAGGCCCTCTTCTCTGATCTCACCGTGCTCCGATCGAGTGTGGCAAGAACTGAGAACCACGAGCTTGGCCCGGAGCTGGAGGCTCTTCAGATCCTGAGGACTGAGCAGGAACTCGGACGAAACGGGAATCTCCTCCTCGTCGTCGTCCTCGGCGTTTTCCGCTGCGATATAGGGGTGTTCTCCTTCGAGTACGTTACTGCCGAGCGAGAGGACGATTCCGGGCAGCTTCCACGAGATGTGAGCGGCGATGTGGATGATAGTTGCTTTTTCCAGGCGACACATGACGTTCTCTTTCGTTGCCTCGAGTCCCAAGAGGGGCTCGGTCATGAGCAGCTCACCGACGAGTTCGGCTTCTTCGTGGGCTCGCGGGATATCGCCCAGATCCAACATCTTTTGCATTCCGGGCGTGAGACGGGGATTCCCAATAACGAGAGCGGTGTTTGATTCCGGCCCACAGGTCCCCCCGTTCAGGTTATTAGCCGTGTTGTTGTTTCCGTGGCGGATGACTTTCGCGCGTTGGCCGCTTTTCAGTGCCGTTATTGAGGGAACCATACTTATCGAGAACCTTTCTCCCAAATAGGAAATGTTCTCACCGCGGAGCATCGCGAACGGAACCAGATATAAGGTGCCATCTGGAACGACCGCGATCTCGTGCACGCACGAAAGTTCCTCTTCGAACGGTGCGATCAGAATGTCGTAGAGCGCATGTAGGGCTGGGGGTCCGGTCCATTGCGGGCGGGGAGAACGATTTCGGTTGATCGTGTCGTTCCGGTTGATATTCGCCGACGCGACGCTCACACTCCCCACCGAGAAAACACTACTCAGGCTGTAGCTCGAGCTGTTCAATAGATGATTCCGTCGTAAGCGTCCGAAACCTTCGGAATCGGATTCAGTTCCATCTTCGTCCGAGCGCCCACTGTTTCCATCGGAGCCGACGCCCAGGGCTTCCTTGACGCTGTTCAAATGCTTCAGAATCAAATCGTCCCTCTTGGCAAAGTTCGTGCGGCCCTCGATATCGGGAATGTCGATTCCAGATTGAAGGTGACTCGCTTCGGAAATGGTCGTCTCGGCGAACTTCACGACGCCTTTCTGCGGGACGATGAGCCACGAGTACAACGAACCCATCACGACACTGAAGTAGATAACCGCAGCTTTTTGACGGTCGACCGTGTCCACGATCGCCTCGGTGGTCACTTGGGAACAGGGAAACGCGTGAGTGTTGGAGTGTCGGAGAGAATGTCTGTCGAAACGGACCCGCAAGCGTTCAGCCGTGGTCAGTGCGTCCTCGTGGCGGTTCATCAGAACTTGAGCTCGCTGAAGAGCAGCGTACGTCGCCTACCGGGAGAATAATCGAATCCGAGTCAGACGGATTTTTTCACTCCGCAACTAGGACTAGAAGCAAAACCGATCTCGTTTCTCGGAGCCGGGCGAATGCAAACAAATATCATGTCCGACTGTCTCTTACCCTTTGGTCCGCTTCGCTGTGAGGCAGATATCGACTCGCTTCAAGTAGATCGGCGGTTTTCCCGAGCTCCACGCAAGCTCCATCCAGATCCCCTTGGGCCCAGAGCGCGAATGCCAGACGTCTCCGGATTTGAGCCTCTTCGTCCTGCTTGCCTAGCAATTCGGCCATCGAAAGACCCTGGCGATGGAAAGGATTTCGTTTCCAAAACTGCTCGCCCGATCCTGACAATAGGAACATGAAACGCTCACGACTTCCCTGCTGATCCCATTCATAATCCTCCTCACCTGTTGGAGGTATTCGGTTGCCTTCGCCAGGTCGCCCCTGGCGTGGTAGATCCGTCCTAGACTACTGAAGGCCAAAGCTTTGGCAGCCTTGTCCTCGAGCTGGGAAGCCAGACGCAAATGCACCTCCTGATGGCGGATAGCGTCATCGAAGCGCCTCATCAACTCGAAAGTATTCCCGAGGTTGCAATGAGCTCGAGCTTGACCCTGCAAGTCCTGCGTGTTGTCCTCGGATATGAGGAGATCCATCCGATGACATTCGACCGCTTTATCGAATTCTTGCATTTTGGCATAAACTTTCCCAAGGGAAGCAGCTGCCTGAGCCCTGGAGATCAAGTCTCCACTGTCCTCAGCCAGCCTCATTTTGTGCTCCAGGCAGGAGATGGCTTGGCTGTAGTTCGCCATTTCCCCGTGAAGGGCACCGAGATCACCGTAGGCTCCGCATTTGACCTCTGGGTCGCCAATTTCGTGAGACACCACCAATCGTTTCTCGAAATACATCTGTGAAAGGAAAAATCCATCAATGGAGTTCTCTCTCAGCGGGCCATTCCCAAAAAGTAAGTACTGCACACTGCACGTCAAAGTCGTGAGTCCCGAGCCCTGAGCCCATCTTGGGACTGAGGATGCTTACCACAGCTTGAGATAGGTCACCGAGGCTCTTGTACGCGTTTCCGACCCCTCGGTAGGCCTGCTCCTGATCCTTTGGGGAACTGAGGCGTATCGACGATCGGAGATATTGTTGGAAACGTGTGATGGCCTCCTGCGGGATAATCTGATATGACTTCGTTCCTAGACTCGTGCCGCAGAGGAATTCCTTCTAAAATGTTCAAACAAACCTTGAAGTCCCCGAGGCCTAGATAGCATTCGCCGAGATAGCCGGAGATACGAGCTTGCTCCAAGCTCATGTTCGGACCTTCCATCTGGGAAAAAAAGTCCAGCCTCAGAGCTTGTCCCATGGGAATCCGCCAGAGGGGTCGGTGAACCTCAGATTAGTTAGGCAATCGAGAACGATTAGGCGGGATACACACCGAGTCGAGTAGAGCAGCTTGCCGTTGGAATGTCGCCAAGGCTTCGTCGAAGTGTCCCAACCGAAGTCGGGTAATCCCAACATTGGTGAGCGCCTGTGACTCCAGCGAAGAACTGCGGAGCTCTCTCGCTTTCTCGAGCTGAGCCTGGAAGCATCGCAGGGCTTCGGCGAAGTTCCCAAGTATCGTGTGGGTCTGACCCAAACTGGCTTGAGCTCGACATTCTCCCTGTAGGTTCCCCAGTTCCTTGTGAATTTGCAGTTCTTGGGCGTGGTACACGAGCGCCTTGTCGAAAATCTTCATCTCCCGGTGACAGTTCCCAAGTGAGGAATAGGAGCTGGCTTCCAGATCTTTGTGACTCGGATCCTCGCGACACAATATCAGCTGTTGGTGATAGGCCTGGAAATCACTTGATCGTGTTAGAACTCGGAGGAGAGAACGCTCGGCTTCAGAATTTCAGGACTCATTATGCGGAAGCCTTATGCGGAACTCTCGAAATCAAATGGCCAACGATGTCACGATCGGGAACGATCCGGCGCTCGAACTCACCTTGATCGCTTCTTGGCCGTTGCCCATCCGCATGAAAACGTCTCCGATATTCCCCAGAGCGCGGAATTTACCCTGTACGTCACGCGTCGCTTGAGCTATGGTTAGGAATCTCCGTTGGCACTCCAAGGCAAGCTTGAAGTCCCCAACTGCCGCTCGGGCGAGGCCCAGGTTACAGTAGGCTCGACTAAGATCCTGTTTCTCACTGAGCAACCTGAAGCTCTTCGAGCTGCCCGGCCTGTGCTCGCTGCCGGAATCGACCGTGGTCACCGTGGTGTCCGGTGAAGAATTCGGTGTTGTCGAGTCGATCGAGTCTTCGGAGCTCAAACAGAGAGCTCGTTCGTAGTGGATTATGGCCTCAGAATGGTTTCCCAGACAGAAATGAGCGTACCCCAGGAAATGACAGGCTCTCGTTTCGTTAGTGGTCAGACCGAGTTCTTGGGATAGCCGGAGGAAGTTTTCGTAGTAGGGGATCGCTCTTGCGAACTCTCCTTTTGAGCTGTAACAGTTCCCGAGGTTGCACAAAGCACAAGCTTCGCCGGGAGCGTCGTTGAGTTCGCGAGCGATGTTCAGCTGTGCGTGATGATGCGATAATGCCTGCTCATGCATTCCGAGCGCTTGATAAGCCCCCTTGAAAAAGTTGAAACTCGTCAGGGAAGAATTCGAGGAACAATTCTATCCGCGAAGGTACGAAGTTTCTATCGGCCATGGTCGAAGGAGTTTCCAGGATGTCGGAGAACTTACGGCTAGATGTCCGTGAGTCGTCGATTCGAGACTTCGGTCACCGAGTTCCTGCATGAGTCGCAATTCTTCGATATGATACTTTATGGCCTGCTTATGGCATCGTTGTCCGACTAATGCTTTCCCTATGTTCCCGAGAGCTTTCCCCATGGCTGGGACATCGCCCAGACTTCTAGCGAGCCGCAAATGTTGTTGGTGGAGCTTGAGAGCCGCGCCGTACTCGCCGGCCATGTGGAAAGCGGTCCCGAGATTCGACAGAGACCTGGAAAATTCGACAATGGAAAATTTGCTGGACGCCGCCAGCAAAGGGTGCGACATTTTCCAACCTTTCGCGGGCTTGCAGTCTATGGATCAAGGTTTCGAACATTCCTCCGGAGGCTCCGGAAAATTCCGCCCGTTCAAACTCACCGTGCTTCTGCTACCCTGTCCTTGCTCGCCAACGCGAGGTCGAGTTGTTTCTCGTACCAGCGTCGAGCATTCACCGAATCGTGCAACGCACGAGCGGCATGTCCCAGACCAGCGTACGCTCGAGCTTCCAACGCTCGATCTTCGATTTCGACGGAAAGACGCAGAACTTCCTCATAGAATTCTATTGCGCGGTTGTACTGCCTCCGGAAATGATGCGCGGATCCCAAGTTCGAGTAGGCCTGAGGATCATCACGTTTGGAATCATGAGTCGCCCTGAGTCTCGTGGACGGATGGAATCGATCGTGGAAAAGAAACCAGGATCGAAGTTCCTCACCTTCGCTTCCTCCGTCTGGTTGCCGATGCTCTTTGCGATTGCCACGTGCGTGAAATGACACTGAACCGCGTTGTCGAAGTCGCCCATCGCCAGATAGACGGCGCCGACGTTCCCCGTCTCGCGAGCTTCTTCGAGACGATCACCGTTTTCCCGAATGAGCTGTACGCACTGCTGGTGACTCGCCAACGCCATACCGAGATCTCCGAGGGCCGTGTACACGTGTCCGAGACTGGTGAGAGCTTGAGCGGCGGAAACTGTATCTTTAACCCGCATCGAGAGGACTAGTTGATTTTTATGGCTTTGGAGGGCTTCGTTGAGGAAGCCTTTGGAAAAAAACGCCGATCCCAGGTTATGATGCGCTCTGCATTCTCCAGGGATGTCGTTGAGAGCCTTCGCCACCGTGAGATCCTGCTGCATGTAGGAAATGGCTTTATCGACGTCGTTCAGAGCCCAATACGCAGAGCTGAGAGCCGAGAGGACGGATCCCCTCAATTTCAGCGACGCCGTGGAGCCGACGAGTAACGCCGCTTCCAAGACGATGGCGCCCGGAGCGAATTCTTGAGCGTCAAGAAGTTCTTGGCCTAGAATCGAGTCATGTCCAAGGGTCAGAGGGATCCCAAAAGTCACGTCAGTTTGAATCTTATAGCATTATTAACTTTATTCCCGGTGGGATTCAGGGATTTTCTGTGGGAGGGCTCGTGGAAAATCGATCTTACCTATCACAGAGGTTATCACAAACGCCTGACGGTCCATTCGCATCGCTTGCAGCTGACGATACATGGGCTCGAATGTAGTCTTCAACGGAGAGCTCAGCGCCGCTTCTATAAGGCCGTCCAACATCTGCTCGGACTTGGGATCCTGCTCGGGGAAGACAAAAGATTTTAGATGAGTAGCGAAAAATTAGTCTGGATGAAAAATTTAGTCTTTTATTGGAGCTCAGGTGAAAAGACCCTCGGGGAGGCCCAGATGGAACTTCACTCGCCTGACTCAAACCCGATGCGAAAGCTGCCAGAGCTTCAGAATGACGACCGAGATGTTGGAGCGCTATTCCTTCCCTGTAGTACGCTTTAGGCCATGTCGCACTCAGCTCCCTAGCGCGGACGGCGTCGGCCAGAGCCGCATGGAAAGAGCCCATTTTGATGTGGGCGGCTGATCGGTTGCTGTACAGGACATGATTGCTGTTGATGGAAAAGACCCTCGCCGTCATTGACATCGTCTGGGTCACTTGGCAGAATTATTCGATTATTTTTGGGATTATCATTACTACAGGATTATTCGATTGAACCCCTCTCTAGATCCCTAAGGTTCGGACAGAAAGCTCTCCCCCTCAATCCTACTTACCGAGGATCTATTTGGAGCGCAGCTGTGTAGAGTCGCACCGCGGTGTCGAAATTCGCTTGACTGCAAGCTATCGCGGCCTGGTGTACTTTTTCCTGGAAGGCTGCGAGCAATGCCGAATCGGGAGCGCTGTCGTCCTGAGAAAGCTCCGAAAAGCCGTTACCGTCCAAACCTCCATCACCGAGGTCCGGATCTGAGATCTCCAGCATTTCCGACCGCTGTGGAACAAAAGGGGAGAACTTGAGTAAATGAGAAGAGAAACAATAATTCAAACACCAGACGCTCCGTTATTTATTTTCTCGTTAGCTGAGCCACGAAAAGCGCCGTGAAATTCCTCCCCTGACTTTGTAATGAGATGCCGTCCTTCTCAACGACGAAAATTAGGATTGGCATCCGCTCGACTGAGCTCGATGTTTTATGTCACAATTTCGTTGAAAAATCCGGCGGTACTGCCGTCGGCGCTGCTCACTCAGTTGACGTTGTTTGCCGCGACCAGAAAGCGTCACGGTAATCGTGAGCGCTTATCATTAAGTTATTCGGTAGGGAACATCAATCTTCAAAATTCATCCATCCATTCATCTATTCGATCATTAATCATCGGAGGAGCTGCTCAGTCACGACCCGGGCGCGTCTTGGCGACGACACGGGGAAAAACACTTCGCCACAGAACTCCAATCTGAAGCACGGAACGCCGTTTTTTTATTCTTGTTTTTCCACAACTCAACAATGATGAGAAGATACCGCTCGCCACACGGGTCCTCGTCGCTTACAGAATCAGATAGCGTTGTAGCGGCTGAGGCACAAGCGCTGCAGATGAATTCGTCGGCATGCAGTATCAGTTCCCGAATCTTCGCCTCTCCGAGAAGAACGAGGAAGTCGTGGAGACTCCCCAATAATTTCCCCATTCGCTAGCGAATTCCCGTAGGCTCGTCTTCCCGTGGGCGCGAGACGACGCTATCTGAGGGGTCGAGAGACCCGGATACTTGTTTTCTGACAATAGTCAGAAATCAATCCCTCGGGCTGAACCCTCCCAGCATGTTCAATGCCGAGCTCTCAAGATGCAACGAATCTCTCAGGCGGAGACCCGCAGATCCCGCCGGCGACGCAAGTCGTAAGTTCCCACCAAGAAGGACCCTTCACGATGTCTGTAAGAAGTATAATGACGGTTTCCGACGTCCTCCGAACGCAATCTATACAGATTGCCGTGATGGGACCGACAAGCTACGATAAGGAGATCGGCGCGGCGGGAATCGCTTTGATTAATTGGGCTCGAAGTCAAATCAACGCGTCACCGTCCTCAGCTCTCAAATCCGTAACGACACCGGAGAGCGGGACGTGAGTGAATCGACCGTCTGACCGACCGACCGACTGATTGACTGGCTGGCCGGCCGGCCGAGGGCTTCTCCAACGCGACGTCGCTTGCCGCGATAGCCGAATGAAAGAATCACCTCGAGACAGTGGCGGGCGGCGGACACCTCGTAGAAGTCACGATAGGCGAATAAAAGAAGTCGATGCGGCTGATTTAAATTTTATGACTAGACTTATCATCTTATCAGGTGTTCGTCTCATTTTTCCTCCTTCTTTCTGGGGAGATACGAAAAGCAACTTTTGAGGCTTTCTCTCTTCTGTCAGTTCGACTCTGTGTGCGTGTGATTCGATGCTGGACGAAATCACTGGGCAGGGAATTCGGTCGCTTGTCTCCGAAGAGCGGTGGGCCGAATGGCCGACCCGTCGGCTACTCGGACCGACGAACGAACGACGGAATTTGACTTCGGCCAACTTTACGGCCTCGCCGGCTGATAAGCCGCGCGTCGGAGCTCGCGACGACGGCGCCGACGGAAGTTTTTCTTTCCTGTTTGTCATATATGGCATCGTTAAATCGAAAAAAAAAAACAGACGAAGAGAACGTTGGGACAACGATACAGAAAAAAATCAGCCGTTGGTATCATCTCTCTTGAGGACATAAAACTAATTTCTATCATTACGTCCACGGGTTCGTAAGTCATCCATCGTCTCTCACCGTCGCTTCTTCCCACAGTCATGATAATATGTAGTTGGCGAAGGAAGCGACGCCGACGATCGTAATCAGACTGAAGTCTGGAAGAGCTCTCGGTCCGTCTTCATGGGCAAAGCCTCTCGCTCTATCTTCCAGCTGGGTGCGGATAGAGGTGACGGCTCCAGAATTCAATTCGAGCGATGAGCGAATCCGAAAATTCAGTTCCTTCGGCGTCGGGGGCTCGTCGGACATGATCTTTCCTTAGTCGGACCGAGAGCGGCACTCATCGGAGGACTACGGGAAAATGCTGTGGATTTCGAATCCGGAATTGGGTTCCAGGGATAGACGATGATCGGATCCTATCTTGTTCGGGTAATGCGGAACAAGAGTAGCCTCGGAGGTCTCGGTCCGCGCGACCATCGGACGGAAACGTCGTCCGGAGCGGCTCGGCAACTCGCTCGTATCTTCGTTGCTCTTCGGCTTCCTCTCTCCCGAGCTGCCGATGATCGTCTAAGGGAGCCGGGTTGCGCACTCAAAAAAGCAATTCGCTATTCGAAATGTAATTCTTCATGACAATCAGATTTTCTTGATGTGGAGCCGTCGCATGGCTCATCGATCGGATCGGGCGCATCTCAAATGCTCTTCATGTAATAGGATTCGATGAGCTCGGATTGCGACGGTCGCCAATAGCGTAACGAAGTTTTCCCGCCGTCTCCGTCGGTTCGGCGAAGACAGAAGGCGATCCCGACGAGAGATTTCTCCCGGATTAATAATCGGAGAGCCTTTCCTCTTTGCGGGGCGCTGTTCGAGACTTGGGATTTTTGTTTCGATCTCTTCGGATGGAAGAGCAATACATACACACTCTTATCAGACGTGCACTCCTGGCGGATCCTCGATTCAGGCCACCCCGGAGTTGGGTTCTGCTCTGTCCGGCGCTCTAGAACGGTGGCTTATCTCATCGAGAAAACGGAAGAGAGAGGGAGAGACAGAGGGAGAGTGTATCGCCAGCCGTTCCGATTATCGAATGGGATTCCGATCTCCTCTGGCTGCTTATCGGTAACACCGCAGATCACGGACGTCATGACAGAGACACATCCAAATGCCATTATGGAAAATTCTGCCAGATAAGCTCCATTGGGTGGCGTTCCCGAGGAGCATGGATGACATTCCGGAGGCGCCGAATATAGAAGTTTGCTTTCCGTCGCATCATCTCTTCGCGCGCGCTCGTCGATACCACATTGGTCGCGAAGTATTTGGGTCAACAAAACGACCCACTGATATTCGACCACAATAAAAATTACTTCCAAGGCGACAAATTCAGTCAAGCTGATGATGACTGTGGCGAGCTGCTTGACGAGGGAATTGGCACAGCCCGCTACGCGAGGTGGAATGATGGGCTGTGGCTCGCCAGGAAAACATACACGGGATCGGGACGGAATCGCAGAAGGGACGAGAATTCCTGGATCATGAGGGCAATGAGATCTCGAGCTCCGAGTAGAAATCGTCGAAATCTCTTGGAGAACGGTGTCCATCGGAGAGATTCCCTTACGTGAAGCTTGCATGTTCTGTTCATAGTTCTGGAGCACCGTCGAGTGTGCACACTGACTTCGTACGTTGTTTGGAGAATGAATTCGCCGACGGATTTTTGCCGCTCGAGTCCTCTGATCCGACGAGGCAATCCGTCAGATCATGGCTCGAGCGGATCCATAACAACGTCGACCGGCTCGGCCGAGAGACCGGTCGACCGTCAGTGAAGACGACGACGATCGCCTTGACGATGACAACAGACACAGCATACAGCAGCAACAATGTCGGTGTCTGTTCTGACATCCGCTTGAAGATTCTTCCATCACGAACTGAGAGGAGAGGCCACCGAGCGACGAATCGATCATTTTGCTTCCAATGTCGACCGACCAACTGACCGACCATCATCATCATCGTCGTCGTTATCATCATCGGCAGAATCTCGTTGTTGTTTTTGTCGCGGTTCTGCTTTCCGTCGCCGTGAGGAGCTCGAGACGCTCGGTCGGATTCGAACCGACTCACAAGCCACCCGACTCCCCGCTATCGATATAGACGGCAATTTTTCTTTCGGTAGCCGAGCTTGTTTTGAGCTGGCATTAAACAATACGTAATTGACGTTCGGCGCTCAGTAGTCCTTCAATTACCCGGGGAAGAAAATGATTCAACGTCGGGTGATTCAACAAGAGCGTTTTCGGTCGCTGGTCCGCTCGTCGCTTCACGCAACGTCGGGTCAAGTCGTCACGGCTTCTGTCGGCGGCTAGCGTCATCGCCGAAGTTCTTAGTTAAAGATCTAGCATCAGAGTAAGTATTGAAGATGTCTTCCACCGACTCCCAGATCCATCGGTCTGGCCGCTCAAGGAGAGATTTCAGGATTGAAGCAGAAAAATAAGCTCGATCGTAGAACTCCATGGCCGCAGCGCCATGGCGCCACATTACTCCCAGAGCAAGCGACCAGGACCGATGAATTCGTCCGTGCACGAAACCATCATCGAGTCGAACAAGAACAACAGCCCCAATGGCGGTTCTCAGAACTAGGAGGCGACACTCCGTCCTACCGAAGATGTCTGACTGAGGAGAGAGTGAGACCGAGAGTCCCTGAAGACCTGCTTGCGAATTTTCAATGCACCGACAAGCAGCGAGTGGTAGGCGTACGCTTGTTTTTTCCGTGATCGCGCACGAATCCACAGACCACACGCATCCACTGGGGCGAACTCGGGCGGCTGACTGAGAGTCGGTGGAAAGGTACTCGACGAGTAGGTAGCCTTACTCAATAATCTGTCTGGGTGTGTGTAGGTATAGCACACACAGCTGCCGTAGCCGCCGCGACGCACGGGGTCCCTGTTCGAGTTGAAGTACGAGAAGTCACACCTCTTCCGCTGGCTTCGCCGCCTCCATCGGCATCGGCTTCTTCTGATCATGGCAGGAACCTTCTAGTCTGGTTTCAGTTCCGGCTGCGCGGGCGGCGGCGTCGTCGATGAAGAGCTCGAGCCTTCAACTGCGGACGATCGATCAGTGGTGCAAGAGATCGAAAACAACTCGCGGAAACATAAGAAGTCAGACGGGGAGCGAGAGAACTTCTCGTTACCGGTGCCGAAGACTCAACTTCGGAACCCCGATCCACCACTATACATGCTTAGAGACCGAGTCTACTGACGGAAAATGCAGGGTCGTTTTAATTCAAGATCGATAGGAAGTCGAGGAAAGTTCGAGCCTAGCCCCTTCGCTAAAGTCTTGACACTCGGCTGTCTCGGATTCCGCCACTCAGCGGGACGTTTTGTGCCCGGAGGAGACGTCGGCCCGAGACGTTGTCGAAGGTGTCACCTTCTCGCGTCTTTTCATTCTGTCATCGCGCGCTCGCTCCCTCCCTCCGTTTCTTGCGTCGAATCTCTCCCCTGTTCCAACTTCCGTCATCGATGTCAACGATGTTGAGACAGAGCGTCAAATTATTATTCGCCGAGACCATGAGTTGAATACGTCGGCACCGTTGGGATACGAGAAAGAGGAGAACCGAGACACGGCGGGATTCGGTGGAAGGAATCTGAAGATATATACGACCACACAACGTAAAATCCAACCACAAGTGCCAGCACTCTGTTCACGCCTTGAGCATTCGGCCATAATGCAGGACAACGTGCTATGGCAGCGAGAAATCGTAGAGGCGGCAAGAATTTATTATAGACTTTCTCGAGAAGCTCTCCGAAATTGAAAAGGAAAGAGGAAGAGCGTGCGGATTCTTTTCGACTAGAGCCGTCGAAGACATGGAAGACCAGAGTTTAGCCGACTCTTCGCATGAACAACGATGAGGCGGCAGCGGGAGGAAGAGTATGCCGGAGAAACTGCAGCACTCATGTGAGAATCCGATATTTTCTGGGCACGTTCTACACC